AGCGGGTGCTAGGGGTGCTGGTAAGAGCAGACACCGCTAGCACTCCCGGGGAGGCTCCATCTATTGGTGGGGAGCAACACCTGCTGGAAAGCGGGTCCAGCGTCCCTGAACATTCTGAAAAGGGTTTGTATGAGTGAACAGATCTATTGTAGTGTTGTTTGTGTTGTTTGTGTTGTTTGTGTCCTATTGGGTCTGTTAGCACAGGGTGATATTAGCCAGTTGTCAGTCTGGGTTACTGCGGTGTTTGTCTCATCCGGGGCTGTGGCTTTTCCTCCTGTCTCCGTTGTCCCATGGAGCTGCTATTGACACCCATCCCATATTGGAGCACCTTTTATCTTTTAGCCCAGCCCTATTCAGCAGCCCCCCATTAGTACGTCTGTTCCCTTTATTCCCTGCCGAATTCATATACTACAACAGGGATTTGAGAGCTACTATTATAAATCTCACTCTTGGAAGGCGAGCCATGCAGTTTGCACTTCAGGCTTCAAGGTTCATGAAGGTCATGTGCATGACGTTGAAGAGGGTATATGGTTTTAAAGATTCAAATGGGTCAGACATGCTACAGGGGGGCTGCTGAACAGGGCTGGGCTAATACATAAAGGGGTTCTAAGAGGGGAAGGTAGGCAGACTGCGGCAAAACAGCCTGTCGGGAGACGCAGTAGCAAGGTAGACGAAAACATGCATACAGAATCAGCACCAAAAGAGTCAATGAACAAACTCAACAGAGCTGCATAAAGCACAAAAACGTGAGATCAACTCTCAGAGTTCCACCTTCACAACACTCAATGAATACCTCTTCATACCATGTATGTCTCAGCTACCATGCCACCATAGCTATATCTCCCGGAAAGCGACAAAGTAGTCCCTTCTACCGGTTTCGTCCGGCTACTACTCGGACTCATCAGGAAGGCGCACTCTCCACGAGCGCTTCTGTCGAAAAGAGGCCTATTGCCTTGCCTCTTCCTACTGAAATACTCTTTCCTATGCCTACTGTGTCACGTTAAAATATAAAATCAAATAAATAAATAAATAAATAAACTTTGTCTCGGCGTCGACGATCTGTCGAAAAAACCGACAGCCTTTCGCTATCCTACAGCCTACCGACCAAAAGACGAACCGAGACGGAAAGACACCGAAAGGACAGAAAGAAACGAAAATGAAAAAGAATGAGACTTTCGCCCGGACGGGAATATCTCCCGGGTCAAAATGTCCGTTCGACAGTTATAGATCACGGTCCGTACTAGCCGCGGTTTGCTAACTGTCGTTTACCCTGTGTGGTCCCTCCTTCGCATGCGGGCCTTTTTCCTTTTTCCATGCCAGATCAGTTGAAAAACGCCGATCAACTCCCATAGTACCTTCTGTGTCGTACCCTTGGCCAATTTAGCCAAGGCACTCAGAGAATCCTCCGGGGGTTAGCCCCGGAGGAAGCTCTCAGTCACCGCATACGCTATCGAGCTTATACACAACGCGTGCGAGGTCGACGACTGCCACAATCTCCTGAGCGTCGCCGATAAAATGCCCTTCTTAGCTTTCCTGTCGGTATAGCTCGCAAAATCCTGCATCGATTGGTAGCGTAGAGGCCCGGAGTTCCTCAGGGACATGCAGTTCTTTGTCTCTTGTACGAAGTGCACCTGGACCGGTTTCTTCATAACATAGACACGTCCCCCTATAAAATTCCAAGTGTTGGTGTCTTCGTCCTTCCGAATCAATTTCAACTTGTGATCGTACGTCTTCTCGAAGGTGTCTAGTATCCCAACCGCCTTCCGCCATGCCTCAGGTTCTCCGTTACATCCGACGATGATGGACACATCGTCCACAATCCTCCATCCCATCACTAGCCTCCTATCCGATCCAAGACTAGACAGAAAAGCCGCCTCGGCCATTGCGCACGTCACTATGGCCAGCACTGGGCTGGTGGTCCTACCCATCGGGATACCAGTGATTTGCTTCCTTACCACGTCGCCATGCATCATATATGCATGCGCCAGGTCATATTCCACGATCGTCCTGATCATGTCCAGCTTAACCGTGACAAAACCGGGTTCTTTCCTTTCAGTCTTCGACATCTGGCACAGTTTTCCTCTGGTCGCAACTCTCACCTGCCTCCATCCCTGTTCTTCAAAATGCATCACCAAATCCGAGACCGCATTCTTCACCGACGCATGCGATATCGAGGAAAACATCTCCTTGATATTGTAACACCTTCCCATTGCCATATCACATCCTTCTTTACTCAGGATCTCTCCTGCGTTCTCTAGATCCTCCTTTAGCTCCATAGTCGATTTCAGGTGAAAATTCTTCCTCCTAGAGAACCTCGTGACGAGGCAGTGCAAGGCTCTAGCCCCTCTCCGTTGTACCAATACTGCCGGATCGTTGCACGCTGGGGCGATCGGTCTCCAACGTTGCAGATCTTTGTCCTTCGGTATCACATATGATCTTCCCAGTTTCCCATCGCTCTTCCATCTCCCAATCTCCGTAAGTCCTGCGTCCTCGAACTCTTTCTTACATTGAGCTAAGACCTCTGCCTCCGGCTTGCCCACCGATTCGTAGTCCGGGTTCTACGTGAAAGTACTTCCGAACCCGTGCCTATAGAGAACCGGGCAAATCAACGCAGTATCGCCTGGATTGCGATCTACAGGAACCAAAACTAGGCCGTGATACTTCGAGGCCCAGTTACGTACCTCACCCTCTGTCCAGGCCGCACACTTCCCGTCCTCGGTTTTGACGCAGGAGTCGACATCTCCTCCTGCGTCCTACCCTTGAGGTGGGCTATTGCCATGCTGATTCCTTGTATGATGTCTCTCTTGCTGTTCTGTTCATCTCGTCTTGTTACATTCTTTGCATTTCGTACGAACATCGGCGTGTCCTTCATTTCTGACACTCTCGTGAGTACGTGCCCGTCTTGCTTGGTCAAATGGCGGTGTTCACAGGGGCAAGTCACCGGCTGAGTATGAGCATGCCGGCGGTGGTTGTGGATCACCTCTCCCACTGTCCTATTCCTTGTGTTCACCACTCTCACCTTCTTCTTAACGAACGCTGCCTGAGCATGGTCGTCCAGTTTCTTGTCAATTACAGATTCTACCTTCCGCCTGACCTCCGTCTTCAGGACAGACGCGTTGTACGGGTACTTGACGGTCACCCTTCTTCTCACACTCACTCCCGTTTTCTTCCTCAAAACCCGATCTATTTTTATCTTCAACTTCTCTGTTGTCTCTTTTCTACCGAAGAAACCAGCGGTCCTGTATAATCCTATAAGCTTGCTTGTCGACTGTCTAGCCAAACCGCCTACTAGCCTCGGCTGCCTCATCAATCTAACTAGCTCACGCTTATACCGTTCGGTAGTGGTAGTTGTCTTGCGTAGCCGCACAAACATCATCTTTCCCCCATTCTGGCAGACCTGTCTCACCTGTTTCAGTAATAGTGCCCTCCCATTGACCTCAACTTCTGACATTCCGAAGAGCTTGCTAATCTGTTTCCACCCGTCCGTCCATTGTTCACCCGCGGTGAAAGCTACCTCCGTTCTCTCACTCGGTTTCTCGCTCTTTTCCCGTAGCCAATTCAGTAGTGAAGTACGCTTTCCTTCCGCGGTAGTGAAAGCCACTACCGACTTCCTTACCGCCTCACCTCCCCTCTTCTTCCTCTCCCTCTTACCCTTCCGCTTTCTTGACTTCACTCCTCGTCCCCTCGTTCCCTTCGTGTTCAAACTAGGTGACAGATCCCGTATCAGATATTGTTCGAAAACGAAATCATCCGCCTTGGCTGTATGCCTCACAGGTATGATTACGAACTTATCAATCCCGAATGTTCTCATCCATCGGTACAATTGAGAAGCTTTTCCCCGAGAATCCGATGTTGCAGTGTGCACGTGCTCCCTCCATCTCTGCAGTATCAGTATCGCCGTACACCCTACGTATACTCGCTTCGCCCACGGGCTAGCGATGATGTACGTCCCGCCAGTCTGCAGATCCAAAGTCGACTCATCCACGTCAACCTTATCCATGTATTTCTTCAACCATGTGATCTCTCCTCTTATCCCAAGGAGCATCGTAAGATGTATCATAAGATGTATCAACGGGTCACGGGTGTCACTAGCAGGTCCAAGGGACAACGGAGACCCGGGTCTAAGAACAGAAAAGCCCACAGCCCCAGGAAAATAACAAACAGCAATCTCTGTGTCATAAGATGTATCAATGGGACGCTGGACCCGGTTTCCAGCAGGTGCCGCTCCCCACCAATAGATGGAGCAGCCCGACAGAGAAACCCTCAATCTGACGGTTCTCTTGCCACCGTCGGGATAGAGGGTGTACACAAGGGCTTAAAAAAAAAAAAAAAAAAAAAAGAAGGAAAAATCTGAAGGCATATGAGCATAAGCATACGTGTACGGGAGCATATGTATGACACATATGGGGACGTGCATGGATAGGCGCACACGGATTCGCATGTGCTCACACATGAGCACATGCATGCATATATGCACGTGAGTGCACACGTGTGTGTGCATGTGGGCACACAGAAGTACACGCACATGGACACATATGTGTTTGTTGCATGTGGTGCATATTGAGTAGGAATGCATGGCTGTGTGTCTCCAAACACAGGGTGAGCACACATAAGGGCACAGGAGAAATTGTTAGAAATACAAAAGGGCATGGGATTCCAAAAGGGTCTCCTGGCAAGTCCCAAAGAGTTCAATGAAAATTAGGACCCAGGACAGTCCGCTCGCCGATACCCCCTCCTCCACCCCCTCTGTGTCTCCCCCACCCTCCGCAATCTGCCACGGCACCGCCCCTCTGCCTCTGCTATCTTGACCTTCCATCTCGATTGCCGGCCAGGAGTAGGCCAATTAAGCAGGGCGGAAGGGGAAACAGGCACAGTCTGAGTACAAATTTCGAAAGGCAGGACCTTGGTCCTCGCAGACATCGTGGTGGCAAATGCTCAGGCAGCAACCTCATTTTCAACTTCTTCTTTTTTTTTTTTTTTTTTTTTTTCCAATTTCATTCTCACATTGTTTACTACTGGGACTGATAAGAGCAGACACCGCTACCACCCGGGGAGAGGCTCCATCTATTGGTGGGGAGCAGCACCTGCTGGAAAACGGGTCCAGCGTCCCAAAGACAGATTGTCAACAGTGTATCTCCGAAAAGACCATATCAAGGATCCCTGCCAGCATTGATTACCCTGAGCTACAGGGGGATTGACTGCACAGGACTATGAAAATAAGCTTGAAACCACTATCACCAGTGGGGGGTGTTAAAAAAAAAAAAAAAAAAAAAAAAAAAAAGTTTACTACTGGGACGCTGGACCCCATTTCCAGCAAGTGCTGCTCCCCATTAATAGATGGAGCTCTCAAGTAGGGGAGCCACTTGAGGAGGATGCTCTTATCACTTACTCAAGTGGTAATCCCCCCAACAAGGGGTTTTACCCAAAGAAAGGATCCAGGACAGTTTGGATCATCCTAGGATCCAATAATTGAAGTTTGGGGGTCACACATCAGCGGGGGACCCCTCACGTCGACTCTCGGAGGCCCAAAACGCAACAACGGCCGCCATTGAAATCTATCAGCAGCAGCCCGGCCACCAAAGTTGCTGTCGTTAACGCGAGCCACATCTCTGAAAAATAGCTGGGAAAGGTACTGGTGGTTTAAATCTAAGGGGTCAGGCCTATTCAAGATAAAACTGACAGGAGTTCTGATAGAAATAGCTGCTGTGGACAATTGGGAAAATAGTTTAAACAGGTTTATCTGACGTCCTGGTAATGGATGAAGAGGTAGTGCTACTTTTTCAGATTCTGTCCGGAGGAGAAGGGTGTGGGTAGGAGAGATGTGGACAGTTTCCTTCAATTCCAGGTTAAAAAAAAAAAAAAGGGAAAATAGACGGGGTGAAGATGAAAAAATAGGAGCCTGGGGTATAGTGGAATATTCCACGTTTACAAAATCGAAGTCCAAGTATGGGCAGCAATGAGGACTGCTATTCATAACAAAAGGATAGGCTGGCTAGTAAAAGGAGATCGTATGACATCCGCTTTTTTTGCTGCTCATCGACCGCCGTTACAGAAGCAGCTGATCACGGCTATCAAACACCCGTTTGATGCTTCGGCGCCGATAGCCACAGAGACACAAGCCATTGTGGTTAATGTCTCATTATTTTATGAAAGTCTGCTCACATCGCAAGCGCAATGTACTGAACCACAATTACTCCAGCAATTCCATGAAGAGATTTGGTCCAAAGTTGAGAAAAAGTTGTCAAATCACCAACGGCAACAGCTGGAGACGGATATCGTTATGCAGGAGGTAGTTGATGCAGTGTCGTCCTTATCACTACATAAAGCTCCGGGATTAGACGGATTGCCGGCTCAATTCTTCAGAGCTTTTTCATTCCATTTGCTCCCTGATTTGTTGCTCATCCTTCAGTCTGTTTGGAACGGAGCATCACTGCCACCTTCAGCCCTGCAAGGGATCATTACCTTTGCTTTCAAGAAAGGCGACCGAACTGATATAGCCAATTATAGACCGATAACGCTAATGTCAGTTCTCTATAAGATTCTGTCCAAAATAATGACAGCTAGATTACAGAGAGTTCTTCCCTCCTTGATTCACCAAACACAGACGGGTTTTCTACAGGGTAGACAAATTCTGCACAACGTGATGATAGTGCAGCAGTTGGCAGAGATTGTAGCAGCAGGAGAAGAAAGTTTGGCTATAGTGCTGTTGGATTTGGCAAAGGCCTATGACCGGGTGAGCTGGGAATTCTTGCAGGCAGCACTCACTACCTTTGGAATTGGCCCCAAGTATAAGCATGCAGTGGACAGTTTGCTACAGAACGCTACCTCTCGAGTTTGTGTGAATGGAGTCCTGTCAGCCCCGATCCGATTGACTCGGTCGGTCAGACAGGGCTGCCCGGTGGCACCGTATCTTTATTTGTTATATGTTGAAATAATGCATATTATGATTAGATCCAATCCGGAAATCCCGGGTTTTGTACTTCCTTCGGGGTAAAGGCTGAAATCTGAAGCGTTTGCGGATGATTCGGTAGCCTTCACACCATTGGATGACCAGGCCTTTTTTGCGCTCAGAGAAACTATAGACCTGTTTTGTCAGCTGTCCCAGGCCAAGGTTAATTGGGAAAAATCTTTCGTTTTAATATCCCCCAGGGAACAACCCCCGCAAAATTGGGGACTTACGATAGTAGCGCTTGGGAGACAAGAAGGGCTTTTGGGACACCAAGTGTCGTTTGATCCACAGCTAGTACAAGACTCATCAACATCAATAGCACGTTTGAGATCGACATTGCTACCTTGGGTAAAGTATAAAGGTACCAGTTTGTTTGGTCGAGCGGCTGTTATTAACAATGCAGTTTTGTCCACTTTGTGGTACCGTCGGGCCATTCATCAGTTAGATAAAGCGTCGTTGCAGACTATACGACATCTGCTCACTCATTATCTGTGGAAAGAACAGATAAAAGATGACAACTTTTTACCCAAAGTGTCATGGGCTACAATAACCCAACCAAAACGGAATGGAGGACTGACTATATTGGACCCCGAACGACAGATTGCAGCACTTCTTGCAAGATGGGTCCCATGGGCCGTCTTGCAAAGTCCTCTCACGGCATGGAAACGATTGGCAGAATTCTACATTTTTTCTTGGTTGGAATGGACAGATCTTCGTTGTATCTGGTTGGCAGTGCTCAATCCAGACTATCAAAGATGCCCACGGGGATATGGGCGGGGATATTGAAAACCTGGAGGGAAGTGCGTCCGAAATTGCAACCCCCACTGCTGATCTGTGAAAGAATAATGACACAGCCGTTATTCAACAATCCACAAATACTTAATTTGGAGGGACTACCTTTTAGTTGCCTCGGACCAAGGGCGTTTGGTAATGCATGGATGGCGAGAGGAATTGGCACTGTAGCTGATTTGTGGGATGTCACAAACGCCGATTGGAAAACTGCAGAAGAACTGGCCCCGAGATTACAGGGACTATGGCACCGGGAAGACCATTTGCAGCAGCTGCAGAATGCCATCCCACAACAATGGGTAGACTTGATGAGAATGGGTCCGCTGCCACGGAAAGGGATGTGGTATAAAAATGCCCAGCAAGAGATTCCGGATCACGTTTGGAGAATAGAGGATTATTCGTAGACGGTTGATATTCCCATCACCTATTGGCTGGTACAAGGAGGAGTTGATTCGTTGGGAGAACCGTTGCAACTCTCAGCGGAACAGTATCCCTTGCCACCGCCTGAACAACCGGTACCAGTCTGTGTACTGGAGCAAAAACAGAGCTACAGGCCGTATTGTTTGAAGTTGCCGGCTTATAGCTTGGTGGTAGACCCCAGAGATTGGGCGTGGGACCACCCAATGCATAGCTCTGAATTAGTCGGATTATCAGAATATACGACCAAATTGGGATATCAGATAATGACCTCTCACACAGACGTTAACTGGGAGGTGGCAAGAAGATGGACGGCAACAGGATGGATCAGAGACACGCTAACTAGATTAGTAACTGTTCTTCCGAAGTTCTGGAAGCAACTGATGGATTTGGTAGTGAGTAAACATGCAGGTGTGCTCTGGTTGGTGATGCATCTGGCACTGCCGACGAACACCTGGTGTGCTAGAAGAACAGCAAAAGCTACCCCTGAATGTGGACTTTGTCCGRGCACCAGGATGGAGGATAKACAGCATTTCTTACTACATTGTGAACTCTCCAGGCCRTTTTGGGATTGGTGGAGACAGTCGGATGTCCCGATCCCTGATGTGGATACTCGGTGGGGGGATGAGTTTATTCTCCTGGGAACAGCAGCCAGGAGAACCTCTCCACAGACTCAATTTGCTCATGCGGAAGAAACAATAAGAGGTGCCATAGTGTGGACTCTTTGGAATCTCAGAAATGCCAGAGTAAGAAAGAATGAGCAACTTACACCGCTGATGGTCAGAGCTGAAATTAAATACGCGATCAAACAAGCAATATTGGCAGATTGGGAATATCGAGTTCAGAAAAAAGGCTTTTCGGCCAAGGCTGTCAAATGGTTTGGAAGCAGGTGGGGAAACTTCTCGAGGCTGGCTACAGTTGATGCAGCTCAGGATGGCACACTCTTT